AAATCTACAAATCATCGTTGAATATATAAATTGTAATATTGTGTTAAATGATATGTAGGAAGTCGATGGATACAAGTGGCTCACTACCGTGCTTTGTGGCATTCTTTAGGGAAGGCTAACGATCACCAGTGCATTCAACATGCAGTGGGCTTGTGAAGGGCTGTAATGCTCATGATGATGATGATGAAGATGATTGTGTTAAAAAACTTTCTTTATATACTACTAATGACCCTCCCTGGCTCCAACTGAGTATGTGGTGGTATTTAGATAAAAGATAATAAAAGACCATTACTTTTATTATTTTTCTTTGTTCTGTCGTCCCTATATCTGTTCGAAAGTTTCATTACAATCAGCTCAGCAATTCTGAAGTTTAGCGCAACAGACAGACGGATTTTTTAATGGTTAATTATGTCTTAATAGCATGCTAATTACCCCCTAAACTTAATAAAAGCCAGTTATTTCGATATTACAAAAAGACATTCCAATTTTATTTATATTTACAGATAAAAAAATCTAATAAAATGGAAGTACCACGTAATGATATCAAACTCATTTATAAGTACAGAAACTTTTAGATGCTAAGTGATCGATAGAACGCTTAAACACAGTCAGCATTATTGAATATATTATGAGACAGTTCAAGTTAATTTGCGAAGCAGATTATTGGAAAATCTGTTTAAGACAAGGTCTACAGTTAAGCTAATAAAAAAACTTAAATTTAATACGTGTACTATTATTGATACTAAAATGTATTATGCCTTAGAATAGAATAAAATCTTAAAGTAAAACAATTTTTATTCAATATAGATTAAAAGAATACTTATTGAAAGTCAAATCAAATCAAATTCATTTATTTGCATAATACAGGTATAAGAGTTGTTACAAAAAATTAGAATATGTACACTGCATTATTACCTTATGAGGTGTGCAAATACTCTACAATATAGTCTACGCATTACTAATTCAATAATGGTGCTTTGAAATAAAATTAAGAATAAGAAGAAATAATAGTAGTAAAAAATATCTATAGTGCTAATTATTGTCATATTAAATAACTTGACGTTATATAAACTCGAAATTAAATATTTTTGATAATACGAACAATTAAATTCAAAATGTTTTCATACAAAATTAAAAGTTAAATTATAATTTAATATACTAATCTTATTAAATTGTTACATACAATGTGTCACATATATTATGTAAATGTATAAATTACTATTATTCAATTATAATTAAATTCAAATTATTATTACTAAGTTACAATTAAATTAAAGCTATTGCTATTAAATTATAATACTTTTATCCTCTAGGTACTCTTTGATATTATAATAACATTTATTAATCAGATCAGAAATTTGTGTAATATCGTCTTAAACCGTGAGATAGGCAACTTTTTTTTCTTTTAAGTGTTACCGCTGGTTCTGAGAAAACCTCTGTCACGTGGGAAGATCTAGCAAGAAACCCTGCGGGACTTTGTTTAAACATAAATTTACAATATACAGAGATAACAGATAACAGCATGGTAGCAATCACCTCATTCCCAGGGATTATTATCAATCATGTACTCTTTAATTGTATGACAACCCTTATTAAACAATTTTTGCTTAATAAAAATTATAAGCTTTTTTAATAGACAGGTCCCGCATACCTTCTGAGAATTTGTTATAAAAGCTTATACTTTGCCCCACGAAGGAAATACTGACTCTTTGGAGTTGAGTAACTTGTGTAACTCACTTGTGCTTGTTCTAAGTATTTACAGAATGCAAATGATGAATGTAACATGTGTAATATTATAGCGTGTAGTGGCGGCGTGAGATAATCTTCTTCCCCATATCAGTTCGTGTGTATCGTAAGATGCCACCGGGGAAATGTAACAGAAGATAAGCAGCAGCACCCTAACCTGATAACTACTCGTGATATCAACAAGCGTGGCAGTTATAGCAAATATGAGGTATATTTGCCTAGGAGGCAACCTATGGGCGACGCTTATGTTCAACGATGTACTTTTGATGGGTTGCAGTGAATAAATTAATGAATAAAACTAGTAAGAGCATTATATACTTTATTTCTATTCAGTAGTATGACTGTTTCATTGGTCTGGAGTCGTAGCTGCGATTGTCGATTGTCTTGGGTTTGAACCTGGGTCTTGTCAAAATCAGTTATTGAGTTTTACTGTCTAGAAATGCTTAGTAGTCCGGAGTCATGAAGTAGTCGGTGTTTCATCCGCGTCTCACGGAAAGCTCGTAGTTGTTGGTCCTGCATCTCTCTGTGTCGGTTGATCGTATAATCGGACTAAGAGAGTGAGGAAATAGAGAGTGCACCTGTGCTTGCGCATTAGCTCGTGCACTATAATCCAGTACCGCGCAGACGGCTAGACTCCGAACTTCGGTCTGGAGGACATTATTATATTATTCATTACCATATTGCTGTAAGGTTCATTTAGCATTTAAATACACAATTAATATTATTTTAATCATACAGTTTAGTGGAGGCAAGTAGCATTGCTGGTGCTAGGATATAGTTTCTCTTATTTAGAAATGCTGATGTATTATCCGCTGAATCATAACAAAGCGGAAAAATATTCAGTCGCTGCCATAAACAACGTGAAATTCATTTCCTGTTTTTGTTTTCTTAAATAAGAAAATGCTGGCAGAGTTTCATGGTAGGTAATAAAAGAGGGAAATATGCAACTATTTCAGTAACTCTTTAATTCAATTTTTGCTTACAGAACAAAGGTGACAAATGAGCATACAGTCCACCTGATGAAAAGTAGATGCTGTGGTCCTTAGACATCTACATCTATCCTCGATTAAGAATAAAAATGCAGATGCTTTATCACTCTAATTACTAAGACACCCTGTTACCAATAAAAAGGGTCTCCGACTCTTTTTACTCACCGTATGAAATACAGCAGCATTTTGCTGCTAGTTTACGATGGTAATAAAAACCCTTCATGGGCGAGGACGAAATACCAGTCAAGTGTTTGATTCAATACAGCGTTTCAATTGAAGGTATGTGGATATCACACATCAGCATCACGTCAGCGTTGTCCAACCGCTCGCTATGCGTTACTCGTACAACCATCTTGGATTGATGTGATGCATACTTTTGCATACTTGACAATTGGTACTAAACGAAGCCAACATGATGCTGTTGTAATACATATGCATGCGTATGAGACTAGATTTTGCTGATTTTTTTCGTGTTTATTAACTTATTTTATATTTCTGACGTTTCGAGTACTTTAGTATAGGTATTTTCAATATGGGTGACAAACAAGTACACAGTCCACCCGAGGATGAGTGGATGCTGTGACCCATTAACATCTACATCTATTCTCGATTAAGAATCAAAATGTTAATGCGTTTCCACCCCTGAAGACTAAGATGGAATGCTTCGTTTCTAGTAAAAGTGTCTCCGGTTCTCTACGCTCACCATACAAAACACAGCAGAATTAAGTTGCTATCTTACGCTGGTATTCTATGAGAGCATGGTCCTTCCCCGGTAGACCCAGATGCTATAGAACTAATTATATTGTTAATTTTAGTTTTAAGTGCTAATTTATTATTTGCTAAACTCCATGCATTGGCGCATCACGGTGGAGATTTTTAAACGCTCCCTGAAATGATAGAAGGCTCGTACCCAACAGTGGGACGTATATAGTCCGCAACTTTCTTTTACTTAGTTTGTATGGAAAACAAACGTAAAATAAAAACAAAATAGACACGATAATTTAATATTTTCTTGTGAAATGATGATCTTATTTGGTATGTTTGTATTTAGTACCTAACTACGGCAGTTCCGTCGACCGATACCCGAGAGTATAAGACGTGTTTACTTTCGCTCCGTGAATTTTAAATCTAAAGTGCAGTAAATTTTAGTTGCTATAGCATGTGTTTATAATCATTATTTTCGTTAAAAAGTGCTCTTTCCAATGGTGAAATCGGAATTGTGAAATACAAAGAGAATTGTAAGATATAAGCGAAAACATTTCAAATTTATTTGTAACGAACTTTGACGCTGACCTACGATAACACGCATCAAGCCCGCTTCGCGTGCCTCCGTGCTGTGTTTAGTCACTACTTGAACGTCACCGTGCTACATTCAGGCGGTCGAGTTGTAGGCCCTCGTAAATCTAACTCCACGTCCGCGCATGACCATCTATGCCACGTGAGGGCCGGACATTGAACTTTTAATTAACTTAACCAATGACCAACGGGTCGCTCACGGCCGTTCGGTGGGGCCGAACGCGTTGTATCAGAAATATTCGCAATGAAATATAACTAATCAATACATCACGACAGTATTCTTTGGTGGTTTAGTGAACACAGTGTGAAGGGAAAAAAAAACATTTGTGTTAAAACTCTTGGTACTCACGGTTATCAGTGTAGTGTTGCAAAAATCGAAGGATCTCGAGTGGTTTTTTTTTTTACCGCGGAGATCGTCACGGCTGTTGACTCTTTTTTATCATCGCGACTTTCGTTCCGATAGATATTGGATAGAATTACGTAATTCTTGACTAGGTTGTTAGTTTCATATGTGTAAAAATTGACTATTACCGTGTGTGTGAACTTTGAGACTCTTAAACATTATTACATGATAGTACTATCAGTGCAGTGATATTCCGTAGTGGAAACCCCCCCCCCTCCGATGACGATATAAACATTTTTTTATTTTATTTATTTATTTATTTTTTTAAACTTGGACTAATTAATTAGCAAGATGGCCACTACTACTTCTAAGGATCATACTAGTGAAACCACTCCCTCCCTCCTACCGGCCTATGTCGAGGAAATAACCAACATCGATACTTTTGTCACGACGATACAAAAACTGTCTGACTGCATTACTAAAGCGGTCTCTGACGGCAAGTCAGTCACCGCCGCAAAGAAGAGACTCATCAACCTAGCTGCCGAGGAGATCAGAAGGTGTGGGCATAAACTGACAAGCATGTCTACAGTGCTTGCCCCCGCCAATAACCCCCCTCCCAGAGTAACATGAACAGCGACTTGAAGGCTGACATCGTCGCCTGTGTCAGGAGCGAGATGGCCAAACTAAAGGGCCAAATAACCACGCAGCTTCAACAGCAGGCACGGCCTGCCTCATACGCCCAGGCCGCTGCGACCAGCAGTGGGCCGGGCTCTCTTCCCAGCGTGACCACTATGCCACCAGCCCGCGGTACATCTAACAACAAGCCGGCCATCGTGGTGACCCCAAAGGTAACCCCCAAATCACGACAGGAAGCAATCGAGGGGTTTAAGAAGAGCATATCGTACCGCACAGCGAATTATGCACCAGCTAGGGTTCAGGCAGTGTCAAATCACAAACTTAGAGTGGAATTTGACACAACCGAACAACGTAATGACACCCTACAAAAGCTAAAATCGTCTGAGCACGTAAGCGTTGAGCCGGCTAAGGGACTGCGGCCAATGATTATACTAAAGGGTATATCCAAAGATATACCAGCTGAAGAGATAGCTGGTATTGTCAGGGGGCAGAACCCAGAGTTGAAAGAGGCTTTTATTGAGGACGATGACATGCGCCTCCGATTTAGGCGTAGCAACAAAAACCCGGGGCTATACAACGCAGTGTTTCTTGTGGCACCCAAACTCTTTCGTAAATTCATTGAAAAGGGCAAAATCAGTGTTGACTACCAGCGACTACACATCAGCGAATTCTCACCCTTTCTGCAGTGCCACAGGAGTCTGCAGTTTGGGCACATTAAAAAAGTACTGCACAGCCGCAACTAGTCAATGCTCGCACTGTTCCAGTAAGGAGCACACAGGCGAAAAATGTCCTGATAAGGGCAAACAAGGTACTGCCATATGCGCTAATTGTGCATCTCATAATGATAAATTTGGTACCAAAGCGGATGTCCGCCACTCTGCCATGTCACTGGAATGTCCAAAACTGAGAGCCATGAGAGAAAGAATAATTAACAGAATTGATTATGGATTTAATTAATAAAAATATAAAAATTATACAGTGTAACATTGATCGTTCAAAAAAGAGTTTACATGAATTTATTCTTTCTTTCATGGCAGGTGGTTATCAAATTGCATTGCTGTCGGAGCCATATGTTGGCTCAGGAAATGAGGTGCGACCAACTCAGGGACTCAACATACATCAATTTGGTGGAAAAGGTAGAGTTAAGGCGTGTATACTCACTAAACCAGGCTGCGGTCAGGTGATTGGTATGTCACAATACTCTAACTCAAATCTTTGCGTTATTCAATTCACAAGTGGCGGTCATAAAATACTCATAGCCTCCGCATATATCGAACCGAATTCAGACGAAAATAACACATTAGAGCATATAGATAATTTTCTCAAGATCTCCCGATGCCCAAATACCATCATTGGCGGTGACTTTAATGGATGGCACCATCTATGGGGCAGTAAGACCAATAACCCTAGAGGATGTGCGGTAGTGGAGCTGGCACATGCAAATGATCTCTTCGTTTGCAATGTCGGCACCTCACCCACCTTTGAAACCGTCACACACGGCAGGGATCGGACTTCTATAATAGACCTCACATTGGCCCATGGACACATATTTGACCGTGTAGTCGGGTGGAAGGTCAACCTCAACGCCTGCCCTTCATCGCAGCATAATGCGGTGGAATACGAGATTGCGACTGAGAATTCTTCCTTGAACTCCTCATCGATAACCAACTCCACGTTTAAGTACAACAGCAACAAGGCCAATTGGGGAATATTCAAGGATGCACTCCACACGCTTATGACCAATACAGATATATTGGAGAGAGACATCGGATCGCTGAACACAGCTGGCTTGGAGAAATTGATTGATGACATCTGCGGGATCATTCATAAAGCGTGTGAAGAATCTATGCCGACAAAGAAAGGCCGATCCCTGACGAAGCATCGCCCGTTATGGTGGACGGAAAAACTGACAGACCTCAAAAAAGAAGTCATCCAGTTACACCACAGACTAAACCGAATGAGACGTCGGAATCTGCCTCTAGACCAACTAGCAGAGGAATTAAATAATAAAAAAGGCAATATATGCGGAGGAACTGAGGGCGGAGTCTTCCAGGAGTTTTAGAGAGTTCTGCGAACTACAAACAAAAGAAAACGTTTGGACTCTCACGAATAGACTTCTGAAGGACACTGCACCCAAGCGGCCACCAGCCACCATAAAAATTGGTGACAATTACACCAGCAGCGAAACGGAGACGGCCCAAGCACTCCTGGATCACTTTTACGGTGATGATACACCAGATAACGACACGCACCAACACCAGTTTCTTAGATCCAGAATCGGGAATGAGCCAGATGGAGTAGATGAACCCCCCATTCGCTGTCGAGGAGGTTTTGGAACATCTCAAATGGATGAATCCTAAGAAGGCACCCGGCATTGATGGTCTGACATCTGACATCTGCCTACAATTTACTATTAATTACCCAGAACTTATAACGGGAATCATGAACAGGTGTCTAGAGCTCCATTACTTTCCTCAGCAGTGAAAGAGAGCCGAAGTTAAAATCATACCAAAGCCAAGCAAGACTGATTATAGCGAATTAAGCTCCTTCCGCCCTATAGGACTCTTGCCAGTCTTTGGAAAATTGCTCGAAAAATTATACATTAAGTGTCTCATATATTGCGCAACCAAAGCGGGACTACTCAACGGGCGACAGTTTGGCTTCAAGGAACAAACCAGCACGATTACAGCTATAGATACGGCACTCAGTATCGTAAAAGCGGCTAAGAAGAATGGCAAAACAGGTGCTGGGCGTTTCTCTAGACATCCGCTCCGCATTTGACAACGCGTGGTGGCCCGCACTATTCGAGAGACTACGTGCTATAAGATGCCCCAAGAACATCTTCCACTTAATAGAGAGCTATACGACGAACCGCACAGTTACATTAGAATACGCAGGAGCGCGGGTTACTAAGAACAACACCAAGGGCTCGCATACAAGGTTCAGCGTGTGGACCCATTTTATGGAACGTGATACTGGACGAGTTGCTTGAGGCTGAACTTCCGAGTGGATGTCATTTGCAAGCCTTTGCGGATGATGTTTTACTTATCGTCTCCGCAAAGGATGTAAATACCCTACAAACAAATACCAATCGCGCTCTGGAAATCATATTGAATGGGGGCAAAGTGTCAAATTGACATTTGGACCCACTAAGACGCAAGCCATTGCATTCACGCGTAAGGCTGAAGAAGCACACCTTATAATGGGGAGACACACTTTAGCGTTTCAAAGGAGTATTAAGTTCTTAGGCATGATCATTGACCGAAAGCTTCTGTTCGCGGATCATGTTAAGTACGTTGTTGGGAAGGCTATGCGAATTTTCAACAAACTATGCATTTATACCCGACCAACCTGGGGAGCCCATCCCGATAACGTGCAAACCGTCTATCGACAGGTCATTGAGCCTACAATTACATACGCAGCAGGTATCTGGGGTCAAGCGGCGAAAAAACGATATGTAAGGAAGCTCTTGGAGTCGGCCCAAAGGGGATTTGCAATAAAGGCAATTAGGGCCTTTAGGACAGTCTCAACGGTGGCAGCGGTCGCTCTGGCTCAATTTGTGCCCTTGGACCTCAGGGTCCTGGAGGTACATGAAGTTGAGACAGTTCGACTGAAAGGGGCAACCAACTTAATACCAAGGGATATACAATATGAGAGGCCCACACCTGTGCATGAGTTATTACATCCGTCAAAAAGAATAAGTATTGAGTGTGCAGACCTGAATTCGGAAAATCTAGAACAGGAAACAGCGCCTATTCGAATCTATACAGATGGAAGCAAGCTCGAGAATGGCGGTGTGGGAGCGGCTTTCGTCTGTTTCGAAGGTTCAAAAGTTATATACAAAAAGAGGCTGAAACTACATACTAGCTGCTCTGTGTTCCAAGCGGAACTCTTGGCGATTAAAGAGGCTTGCGAGTGGACTTTGGACCGGAGATTGAAGCAAGGAGACGAAAGACCCCAAAGGGGCACAAGGATGCACATGGGCTGCAAGGAGGTTATACAGATCTTGAGTGACTCTCAGGCGGCACTGAGAGCACTCCAAAAGAGATCTAACACCCACCCCATTGTGGCAAAGACTCATGACACAATATATACAGCTGCTCAAGTGGATCTTAATTTCATATTCTCATGGGTTAAGGGCCATGCGGGCGACGCAGGTAACTAAATTGCTGATGAGACAGCCAAAGGCGCTGCCACACAACACAAAACCCCTGACTACGCGAAGTTCCCTATGAGCTTTGTAAAAAGGACTATGAGGGAAAAAACTTGGAGAACTTGGCAGACAAGATATGAAAGCGCGGAACAAGGAGCGCGCACAAAAGAATTACTCCCAAAACTGACGGACATTTGTGCACTATGGAAAGCAACCAAAGTATCATTTCAATTAACGCAGGCTTTAACAGGTCATGGCTACCACAAGGAATATCTGCATAGATTCAAAATCGCTGCCGATCCATTCTGCCCCTGTGACAATACCACTACTCAAACGTTAACTCATTTGTTGAGGGAGTGTCCTAGATTTGAGTATGATAGACTAAGACACGAGATGCTTTGTAGCAATCTACGTATATCACCGTACTGTGTAACGGAACTTTCAAATAAACAAAGTGCTATTGAATCCTTCGTTACATTTATTAATTACATCATAGATAAGCTTAAAGGATTCAATAAATTGTAAATTATTTAAACTAATATACATAGGATATAAATTGTGTATAAACTTTCTAATAACTTTTATAATTTAAGTTAACATATATAATTATCACTCCTCCTTTCAAACTTTATCTTTGTTCTTAAGAATACAATATGTAAATCTAAGATTACTCTGGTAATAATAATAATAAAAAAAAACTGTATAAGGCTATGTACAACTTCTCTATAATTCTCTTTTTATATGCTAATCACGTTCGCACGAATCGTTGCATACATTATTTTGGCTATAAGACACTAGCTTTAATCATTGTTAATAAATCATAAGCTATAGTCTAACTCCTAAGCAATAGATAGGAATAACTTGTATTTTACTTAAATTAAATCTTATTTTCTCACCTTTCTTGTATATATAACATAAGTAAATCTCTTTCATTTACTTATGCTCGTTTGCTAATCATATCTGTACAACTTAAGGCACAAATTTAATGAATGTTAATAAATTATAAGCTAAGGACTAAATTATAAGCAGTAGACATAAGAATACCCTGTATTATATTTATATTAATTCTGTAATTTTTTCTATTCGTTTTTTTTTGTTGTTAATTTGGTACTCTTTCTAATTTTCTAAAATATGTAATGCTACTGGGAATAATTATACAAATTTATATTGTTATTAATAATTTCATTCAGTGAAAAATAATTTTATAATAGTGATAATATTAAATGGACCGATACCTAATCAATGTATCAAATCGCATTGATGTTAGTTATCTTGTCTTAGAGAAGAACAGCTTGCAAAATATAGTGTAAGCCATTTAATGTAACCTATTGTGTAAAAATGTCAATAAATTCCCGTCAAGGACGGTATACTCCCTTGGTGGAAAATCAAAAAAAAAAAAAAAAAAAAAAACTACGGCAGTTGACAGATTAACAAGAGTGCAAGTGTGAGAGCTAATTTGAAACAAACTTGCTCGAACTTGACGCTGCTATTTGGCAAGCTGCGAGCCTCTGTGAGCACTGGCAGTGAGAGTAAGAGTTTTATGACAATTCACTGCTATACGAGTATAAGAGTAGCATTTCATAATATTTTTCAAAATATGTATAAACGCATTTTTATATAAGTTTTATATTTACGGACATAGAGAAAAAATCCCTCTCTCTATATAATAAGATTGTCTGAGTAGGTACCGTTCTTTTACCTATTTCTATCATTAACTTGCTGTAACTTAACGCTTGCTGTGTTCTAGTCACAAGAGTATAGGGAGGCAGTAAAATAACAGGCTGTGACGTTTTCCGTCGTTGTGCTCAAGAGTAACAACACAACAAAATTTTCTAAGATATTTAAAATTCGTTAATTAAGCATTTTAGCGGATACTTTCTTACCACAAAAACCTCTCAGAAGTTTGAGAAGTACCCAGCAGTAGTTTATATTTATTCTTTTATAGGATAAGGATGACAAACGAGCACACAGTCCACCTGATGGTAAGTGGTTATTGCGACCCATATATATCTACATATTTCCTCGATTACGAATCAAAATGCAGATGCGTAATCACCCGTGAGGACTATGATGGATTGCCTCGTTTCCAGTAAAAAGTGTCTCCGGTTCTCTACACTCACCATACGAAACACAGCAGCGTTAAACTGCTATTTTACGCTGGTATTCTGTGGGAGCGTGGTGTTTCTCCTGTTGAGCCGACCCATTGGTGCTACAACTATATTAGTAATATAGCTCCAGCATGGCTTAAATGTAAAATGTAACTTAAACACCAAAACAACATGGAACACGACAGAATATTTTGTGCACACAACGCTTACAGATGGGTACATATTAACACATTCATTTTAAACTGTCTACCCCAAAAACAGTATTCAATATTGGCAAAAGTCATATTGATTCATTTGAAAATATATTTTCCCGAGGGAAATTCGTCGGGGCATTGGGTCCAAGCTATCTGCTATATTTTTTTGCGATAAATACACGACAGTACTATATGTAATTCGTAGCCGCTTTTCGATCTCCGAGACAACTTAGAATGATTTCATGTTTACATTTTAAGTAATAGCCATAGGATAGAATTCACCGTGTACTGGCGGTATATTTCCATTACCCTACATCATCCCGTGAGTGTTGTAAGAGGCGACGAGAATAACAAATGAAGAGGGGGGACAGTAGCGTCTTTTTAGTAACGACTAAAAAAACTGCGTTGCAAGGCTTGACAACTATTGCAATTATCCCCTCTATAAAGCAATCTGTGGTGCCTAATATGTTCAGTAATGGACTTGTGGATTGATTGATATGCACAAGCTCAGAGTTGTTTATTCGTCTTAATCTAGACATGCTCGAATGTTGATTGTCCAGGGTATTGAGACCTCGTTTTAGAATTTTTATCAAGAAATGCTACAACG